TATATATATATATATATATATATATATATATATATATATATATACTATTTTTCTTTCTCATTTATATTTATATACAAAAAAAAGGGTGTAGTCGGCGCTCGGTAGACATCTCAGAACTTCCATCGTCTTTGTAGGAGGAGTTGCCGTTAAGAAGGAAAGGAGCACAGAGAGAAGGTAGCCATGGGAGTGATAAGCAAAGCTGGAGATTTGACGTTTAAGGCCTTCACGCTGGGTCTAGGCGTCGCCACCATTTATCTCGGCGGTACATTTTCCGTCAACGTTTACCGCGGTCTCGCCTGGCACAAGGCTCAGTCGGTAAAACCCTAATTCTTGTTTTCTGCCTTTATTTAACGTTTGAACAATTTTTCTGTATTTCCTCCAAGTCTTAGCGTGTTAATCTACTTGTTGTAGATATGAAGCTAACATGACTTTCAGTTTGCTGATTTGGTAGGGTTTAGATGACTTGCTCAAATTTGAATTTTATGCTTAAATTGTATAGGAATTAATGAATACAGTAAACGTATAACCAAAATTAGCTGTGTTTGGGGACTGTGGTTCAGTTTGGTTAACTCTGTGTTAAGTTACTGTCTCTTTTTCTCCTTTGTACATATGAGGTCTATGCAAATTGGGCAACTTCATAATGTTAATGGCACAGGCATTCATGGTTTAGGAATGAGATGAAAATATCACGACATGTACAGCATAATAGCTGAACACCGTAATTAAAATAAGGACATAATTTTGCAAACCAAAGTATTTTGTTCTATTTCAAATGGTTTGTATAAAAAGGTTCTATGACTAGTACCCTTGATTGAAATATCGCTAATAAGGGGGAGGCGAGAACTACCTTTCTCATGTAGCATTTGCATTTTGTTCAAAAAACAAACGGGTGCCATGAATTACAACAACTTTCTAAAAAACTTACCATAAGAGTAGAGTTAGCCACAATGTTCAATGTCTATTATACACTTTTGGATGCCTAATCAAGCTTATTCATTTGTTGCATTTGCCCATAAGGTGTTGAGTAACCTTTACTCCACGATCTATTGTCACAAATCTTGTTGCTTGCATGATATGCATATTTGTGAGGTACTATCTCCATGTACAACTCCACATAACAAGGTACCAAGAAGACCATGCTAATAAAACAAAACCAAATGGACCGAGTAAATCTCATATTGAAGTAGGGCCTCAGGAGGGTGTAGTATACGAGGTCCCTTCCTTCCTCTACCCAAGGGGTAGAGACTAGAGAGGCTGTTTCCGTGGAGATCCCTGGTTTGTGAAAAATAGGTTTTTGCAAAAAAAAAAAAAAAAAAAAATGGAACAATAGTTTGGATTCTTAAGTGACACCAAAAGTATGTAAAGAAAAAACGAGAGATGAAGTTTAAAATAATTAATGAAGGGTAAGCATGTACAATAAGCATCATCAAAAAGATTAACCAGGTAAGGACATTAAAAACATACGGAGAAGTAGGAATCATCTAAGTTAGCAAGAAGACCCCAAACTGGCTAGACTCCCACAAAAGCCACTCCCAACTACCCCCAAAGATCCCCTCTACTTGTCCTAGGCCTTTGATACCTAGTTGTCTGCTCCCTCACCCTGTCTTCTACTTGGAACCCCTCCCCCGACCCTGACCACAGTAACCACAAGTCCTTATGCAAAATTTGTTACCTTAGTCACGTGTCTCCACAAACTCTTATTTGATGTCATGCCTTCAGAAATGTTTAAATCCACCATGTCTAGTCTCAGCTGCTCATTCCACATCCTCCTATGCTTGTCTGGCCTCACCCTCAGCCGTTATGTTATCGACTCTCCTCACTGGTGCCAACATGTCTCCTATGAACGTGCCTAAGCCATTACGGTCTTCCTTCAATTCATCCGTGATAGGCACTACTCCAGACGCCACCCGAAAGACCTCATTTGGTATCCTATCCGACATAGACCAGCCACATGACTACCTGAGCATCTTCATTTCAGCAGCTTCCAACTTCTTTTCGTGTGCTTTCTTCGTTGCCCAACACTCCGCCTACACAACATGGCTAATCTGATGACTATCCTATAATAATTGCCTTCAGTATTAGGAGGGTCTTCTCGTCGCACAACACTCTCTTGGCAACATGCCATTTTAACCATGATGCCTTTATATGGTGCAACGTTATCCACAATCTCTCCCTCTTTCTGAAAAATGGAGCCTGGTACTTGAATTTCCTTTTGGGGGGGAACCATTGCTCCCCAGTGCTAACTTCCACCCGTCATTACCCAACCTTCTGAAATTGCACCAAGGATATTCAGCCTTAGAATGACTAATGCACAAATCTTGTGATTCCAAGGCTGCCCTCCGCTGTTCCAACTTAACATTCACCTCTCCTTTCATCTCTGGTACCAGTGCAATGTCATTCGCAAATAACACACACCATTTCATACTTCCTTGGATCCCACATGAAATGAATGAAGAACTAATTCTGACATCTTCAGTTTCTTGACGGGTCATCTGGTCTCCACCAGAAACATAGTAACATGCTGAAGGCTTAGTCTTTTTGCTCCAATTTGATGTTCAGCTGAGCTGTTCGCTTCTATATGTGAAATTATGTACATTAAAATTTACATTTGTCAAAATTTTGTTCTTGGTGACATTGTGTACGGTATGATACTTGTTAGAACAGTAGGTCAGAAGAGCATCAACCATAGGAAAATGGTCGAGTCTGATTCGAATCTAGAAGTGGTAAGTTTTGCCCACCATCCAACTCTGTAGCTAAATTTATGAATTGGTGGCAAAGAGCAAATCTTATTCTTGTAGTAAGCTTTTTGGGGAGTGTTTAGTTTTCATGCAACCTAGATTTTTGAAAGGACACAAAACCACACTTTGAAAAGAGGGGGTGGGGTGGGGTGCAGTCGTCCCCTCTGTTATGGATCCATGAGTGAACTTTATATGTTAAAAATCTTTGCTAAATTATTTGACATAGAAGCCACAGACTGCTAAACGACATCCTCAATCTACTTGACACTTCCAATCAATCCCTTACTTTAAGTTCTCTATCATGCTCCAGCGGGAGATAAAGAGAGGCTGTAGGTTGGTTATTTACGATTATGTTTAATTGGCTTCAGAAAACAAAATTTTTGTGTCATAAAACTCTTGTTGCATTGTCGATACGTGTGTATGAGGGTACTGAAGGATGTAGAACTATATCCGGTTCACTACTGGTATTGATGTTGACATGTTCATGTCAAGGTCTTCATTTAAACTCCACTAAAAGACTATGAAGGTGCATAAAGTGAGTACTGAATGCATATGATATCAGAAACAGGTTTTTTTTTGTCTGTGTTATAAATGGGAACTAATGTTATCAACTTTTCTGATAAAATATGCCATGTCTTGCAATGGAACTACAATATTAGTTTGAATAAGGTTTTCCTAGGGGTCCTGCTCCCTTTTTTCCAAAAAAAAAAAAAAAAAACTACAATATTAGCGAGTATTGGTCTTTTCTACACCGGCTTGAAAACCTGTAGACAACAATCGATTCTTTTTGTTTGCTGTGAACATAAATTCAAGACCGTGACAACACACAACTGCACCAGTAAATGAAGACGTTAGGTTTCAATAGACTAAATTTGATGTAGGATACCCTATTGTTAGGTAGAGATATTATGCCACTTGAAGTCAAACATCCATCTGATAATTCTTTAGTGCCTTCAAAATGGTGAAACTAAGACAACCATAACCTTGTCACACAATCATGATACACAAACCATACAAATGATTATTTGTCAAAAGTTCTTTTCCTTGGTCCAGTACTAATTGCAAACTGAGATATGCAATAGAAATTAGACCTTTGGTTTTCAATCCAGAGCAAGAAAGTGACTAGCTGTTTAAGGTAATTGAATACTGTATCGTGAATCCAAAGATGGTCTTCATGCCATGGTGATTTTTCTATATGCTATCGGCTAATCCATTGGCCTGAGCTTTGATGAAGTAACAGAAAATGTCATTTTTCAAAGAAGAGAGGATAAGAGAACCCTTTTGTTGCGAAGAACTCCCCTTCTTGTCACTAGCTTCTTGTAGAAAAGGAATTGCTTAATTTGAGATCTTGGAAGCAGGGTGCTTCTAAAATCCCCGTATTGGGTGTTTTGGTAGTGCTGTTTGTTTGGGAGTGTAGCAAGATGTGCACTGCATGCAACATTTACCGCATCTTGAATTATTGGCCACAAATTCATGGGGTAAGGAGAATGGGGGAAACACATGGGAGCAATTGGGTCTCTCTTTTACCAAAAATAGAGATGTGAAGTTCACAATTTCCAGAATTCGAACAAACCCTATAACCACAAGTAATTGTAAGTTGTATGACTGAAATCCACACACTTCTTTTTCTAATAGTTTGGACTGATATGGACACACCAAGTAAAAGTGAAAGCATGATGAGACTTGGCTTTTAATGTATATTTATATTACGTTTTTTAATGTATGAACTGTCAAATAGTTTCTTTTTTTAGTGGTTTGGTTTTAATGTATGACTGTATACCAGCATGTATTGAGCCCTAAAGTAGTGTTTTCTCTCAAGGAGAATTGTGTACTATGTTGTAATTGCCTCGGCATCATATTTAAATCATGGAATTTGAGCATGTTTTTTCTTCCAAATATTTGGAATATTCGTCATTAAATTTAAAATCCCATGCTGAGTGTTGGAAACATGTTGTTTTACAACGGACTTTGCAGCGTAGCCAGCTTGAATTTCACACCCTAAAATTCCTCCTCATATGTCTTTAGTGGAAGAAGCTTGTAACTGTTGATTTGATTGATTGGTAATTGCATAAGTAAGTAGTCTAAGACTAAACGCTTATCCGGGTAAGTGCTTAGCAGCAAAATTCAACACTATCACTAACTTACCGGGTAAGATTTTAGTACACCAAAACGGTATTGTATGCAACAATTTACCGGTAAGCTCTAACCATGGTAAAAGTCGTTGCCCTCATTTACCAGGTAAGATTCTCGGTCCTTGCCTTTGCTCTTACCGGTAAGATTCTTGGTCTTTGCCATATTCATCCGGTAAAGGTAATGTGACTTGGTAAACGCTTACCCGGATAAGACGGTCCCTAAGTTCCCATTTACTGTTTAGTTGGTAGAAGTCAGCATTAGGGATGGGTTGCCACCATGGTTTTAAAAAGTGATTGAGGCTACGCCTTGAGGTGTGCCTCGAGTCAAGGCGGTCCAAAATTGCACCTGAGGCAGCACCCTCTCAGTCCCAAGACGAGACATACGCCTTGGTTGCCTGGGGCGGTGGCCAAGGCAGTGAGGCGTACGTCTCACTACAGAGGCTAAATTATTAAAAAAATGATTAAAACCTTCTCGATTTCTTTTTTGAAAACCTTGTTCTTCTTTGGTTCTCCTAAATCCTATCTGTTACTCGTCTGTTGTCCTTCGTGAGTTCCAATTTTCTCCTGTTTTCTTCTTTGATTCTTCTCCGGTTCACCAGAGTATTATGTATATGAATATACCGGATACACTTCTTTTACATTTAGTCTCTACTATGTGTCACAGTCACATTTTTACTCCCACTTTGTTGAATGATCAATATTTTTTTCCTTTGTTACTATATCTATATTTAGTGATTGAAAAAAGTGTTGTATATTCTTTTAGTAATTTATTATGATATATATTTTGTCTAGTAGTCAAGTGTGTGTGTATAAGCAGTTTAGTCAATATATATATGTGTGTGTGTGTATATTTCTACCTCTTGCACCTCGGACCGCCTCGAGGCTTAGCCTTGTCTCGTTGAGGGAAAACGCCTCGAGGTCCGATTTCGCTTTTTAAAACGTTGGACCTTGGTTACCACTTTTTACTTTCAATAAGAAGCAGCCTCGATCATGGTTTTAGAAAGCAGATGAGGCGTATGCCTCTCAAGCCTCAAACGAGATGTACTCCTGGTGGTCGAGGCGCTGACCGAACAGGTGGAGAGGCATACGCCTCTTTATCGAGGCCAAGTTATTTAAAAAAAAATTATGACTGAAACTTTCTCGAGTTCTTCTCTAGTTCTCCTAAGCCCTGTCTGCTACTCGCCTGTTGTCCTTTGTGAGTTCCAGTTCTCTCGTTTTCTTCTTTGCGTTTTTTTTTCCGTTTCTTCTCTGGTTCACCAGATATCTGGTATATGTATATACACTTTTATATTTAGTCTCTAAAGGTCCTTTCACTCCCACTTTGTTGATGTATTAATATTTTTTCCTTATGTGCCATGAGCATATTAATACACACACACATATATATATTATTAAAAGAACAATATTTTTTTCATTGTTTATTATATCTATATTTCGGATTAAAAAAAGTATGTGCAAGTCCTTTTAGTAATTTAGTATGATATGTATTGTATATAAATGTATGTATATTTGTGTAGTGTATATATATACATATTTTGGTATGTATATAGTTCTGCCTCGGGACTTATGCCTCGGACCTCCTCTAGGCTTATGCCTCGCCACATCGAGGGAAAACACCTTGAGGCTTGATTCAGCTTTTTAAAACCTTGGGCACAATCTACCCTTTCTTTTTTTCTCGTTAATATTTTATCGACTTGGCTTTTCGTTGAAGATTGATATGTAAACATGCATCCAATTGGTGGTTTGTCTTTCACATCTTTTCCAGTTCCCATGTAGCATAATTCTGCTCGCCCTCCCCCCTCTTAATTTTCTAGCCATTTATGGAGTAGCCTTTTTAGTTTAGAAATGAAAGCTTGGTGGAGTAGGGGCTCATGACTGAGCTTGACATACTACCATTTATGTTAATGGCAAATCGTTGGTCTCATTCAGAAATTAGTAGCCGTGGTTTCCGTTGCATGATTTCAGAACTTAAACTGTTTCTTTCCAGAACATAACTGACGGGATGCTTTCCATTCGTTGCATCTGTTCTTTATATTTCTGTATGCAAAATACAACTTCTTATACACTGTTTTAATGTTATCTTTTTTGTAATTTACAACTTCCACTCATCTTTCTGCTGCAGAAAACCGAGAATGATGGGACCCCTGATCAGAAGTCATAGTCGGATTATGTTGCGAGTCTATATGGTTAAGTCGTTAACCTTCCCTCTTTGATTCGATGAAGAGAATATAGTACTCACCTTCTTCATGTGAAAAGCTAGAAATTTTACACCAAATGTCATTTTCCCTGTTTGTTAGGACCTGATCTAGGTTTGAACATCGATGATTTAATGGTCCCCTGTGCTATTTCGCAGATAGCCACGGTCAGCAACACAAATATTGAACAAATGCAGTTGTAATATACACTGCTGCGGTTATTTGTTGAACATTCGTTTGTTTTGGTTGAGTGGTCTCAACTATGAATAATTTGAATCCTTTCATATATTTATCCTGTTGCTTTATGACTACCTTATTAAGTCCCCTGTGTTCTAATTCAGATTAAACAAGCTTAGTATAATCCTATTTGAAGGTGAGGTTTGGAATTGGATGTATGCGGACTTGTTCTCTGCCCCTAAGAAAAATAGAGCAGCTGTTTCTGTGAAGACCTCTAGGCCCGCTTGTTTAAAGTGGATGATAGAAAGATTGTCCGGAAGGTTTGAAAATTGGAAAAATAGAAGACTTTGAAAAAGGTTTGAGACAAGGAAGGTTGGCTTTCCGCTTCTAGAGTCTAGTATGCTATCTCTAGGGGCCGTTTACCAAATGTTTACCGGCAAGAGTCACCATCCTCACTTTGTTGGGTAATATTCTTGACTGGATGTTGGTAAGCAGTTACCGGGTAAAAGTCCTCTTTCACTTGCCGAGTAAGAGAGTTGATCCTTCCTATGCCTCTTACTTAGTAAAATTTTCGGTCCTTGTCATGCTCACTCGGTAAGGTAAGTTATCTCCGGTGCTTACTCAATAAGTGTCTGGTAAACAACTCTTAGGGGCCGTTTACCTAAACACTTACCCGGTAAGCACTTACCGGTAAAATTCAACACTATCGCTTACTTATTGAATAAAATTTTATTCACTAAAACGCATCGTATGCAACAATATATCCTGGTAAGCGCTAACCATGGTAAGAGTCATCGTCCTCACTTACGGGTAAGACTCTCAATTCTTGCCTTCGCTCTTACCGGGTAAGATTTTTAGTCCTTGCCATATTCATCCGGTGAAGTAAAGTAACTTGGTAAACGCTTACCCGGGTTAGCGTTTGGTAAACGGCACTTCTTGTATCTTTAAAACTTCCATTAACCCAGGCGCCATTGTACCTTTTTACGAGTCATGTCCTGTTAGCTTTGATACCCACCCTGGTGCTTATGTGCATTTATTATTAAATATGTGGTCGAGCTATCTTGAATTCATATGTTTGGATAGTCCATTTTTTGTTATAGCTAAAATATGTGGGCGAGCTTTTGGGTTCGTGTACCATCGAATTGGCTGCTTGTTTTTTCAAGCCATTTTTTATTTTTGATTTGTGGAATTATACGGAGTCTCGAGTGGATCTTTGTTACTCTTTCGTTCGAGTTTTCAGAGCATATCTTTTTGTTTGAATGCAACAAGTTGTCGTAGCATGTTGAATCTGGATAACTCTCACGATGTTAATAACATTTATCAAACGCTTACGGGGTAAGCCCTTATCGACATAGTCACAACCTCACTTATCTTATTGCGTAATATTCTTGGCTATCAAAATGAATTGTTGGTAAATGTATTTTTCTGGTAAAAGTTTACCAGGTAAAGATTACTGGTCCTTGTTACATCTCTTATCGGATAAAATTCTTGGTTTTTGCCATGTCCACCCGTTAAGGTAAGCGACACCGGATAAACGTTTACACAGAAAGAATTTAATCAACATCCCCTTATACCGGTTTTTCTTTTATACATCTTGATAAACTCAGTCGTGAAAGCAGTCTTTGTGTTCATGATAAATCATAATATTTTATCTTCACCAAATTTGGGAAGATACAAAACTTGATATGTAGGTGAAGTTGTAGCAGAGGTGTGAAAATGACGGATTCAGGGGCTGAGGATCACTTTCGTCGAAACTTCATGGTTATTAGGGTACTTGGTTAAATCTTCAAGGACTTGCCTGTAAATTGTCTTCATTAATCAACGAACAAATACATAAATAGAAATGCAAAACGCGCCAAATCCCATTGTATCAATTTGATCCCTAAAAAAAGGCACAATAATGTTCATGTATTTACAAACCCAGTACTCATAGCAATAGTTTCCTCTCTTATGTAGCAATATTCAGCTTCCTTTTTTCCTAAAATCCTCAACCCAACCCAACCCAACCCAATTCAACGCAAGGAAAGATAACCAGCCGTAATATCAGCATCATATATTCACAACCGCAGCTTCTCAAAATGCACTCGTTTCTGGTTCTTGGTTCTAGAACGAATTTATAAAAACTAGCTAGCGGCAAACGCTAATAGGTAGGTAGAAAGTATCGGGAAAATGACGATATAGTAGAGCATGGTATTAGTATGGATGGCATCAGATACTATTTGCGATCATAAGTCGCGTGGGAGATGCTGCTGCTGCGGACCTCTGCCAACGGATTCTTGATTAACCCACTACCACCACCTCCCTGGCGCCAAAATCCCCTATTCTCCGGGTTACTTGATTCAAGATTCATGTTTGCAAATGGGGCTGAAGAAATTCTAGCGTTTGAATGGTGAATCTCTGTTTTCTTCCAAAGCTTAGAGGTCAAGAATTCTGCCCCCGGTAACTTGCAGCACACAGTTTCTGTAGGTTCTGGATTAGACAACCTTCCAGTTGACCTGGCCAAGTCAAATGAGATCTCATCTAGTGTTAACTCTAGACCATGCACACGTGTCTCCAGCGATTGCATCCCAGTCTGTGAGCTTCCAATAAATTTCTGTACGATTAAAGTCACAAGCAGAAACATGTAAGAAAAAGTCATCATCAATTGTTATATATTAGTGGTATAACATTGGTTATAGGTTTATCATTATATAACCTAAAAGAGATTTGTGAACATTACAGCAATTCCAGCAGAAACAAGTCAAATAGGTCATAATTTATATGCTAGAAACAATTAACCTACAGAAAAGTAGGAAAATGAAGGCAATCTATTGCCAAGATTTGCTTTCTCCTATTTTGAGCTATTACTAAAATATATATATATATGTCGGCAGGATTTGTATTTATGATTCAAACGTTTGGTGGGAAGGTAGCACTTATTTTTCAACCCCACAATATAGCTGACAGAAAAAGATGCTTTTGGAATGTGTGATTGCTCTTCGATTTACACTGTTTTCTCCATAAGTGGCCCAGGGTGTCTTGAAGCCAATATTTGTACCCGGACATTGGGTCAGAAATAGATCCTTGGAAGTTGGATCACAGAAATACAAAAGCTCAGATAAACTGGATAAAGCTGTCATATTTGGTCAAATACAAAACATCACACGTTAAAAGTAAACAGTTATGAAGAACTACTAGCAAATTACCTGGAGGAGTTCAAACAAATTTGACTGCTGGGTTTCGATTTGAACAAGCTGATTGCGAATCATAGATAATTCTTCACAATCTTTATGGTTCTTGTGGATATCCACAGTGAAATTGCTGCCTACATCAGTGGAACTTATTCTCGCATTGTGATACGATTTATGCATTTCTTCATCAACAATCTCATTGAAGAGGGCTCTTTTTGTTTCTGATCTTGCAGATCTATTGTTAAGACGATCATCATCCACAGCCAACGGAGTTGCAAGGGGAGGAGGAGCAGCAATGCCAAGTTTCTGATCATGGTTCTTCTTGCGCTCCAACTTCCGGAACATTGCGGGACCAGCTTTCTTGTTGCTATTTTCTGATGAAATTCGTCTTGTTGCATTGGCAGTGACGGAACCATTGAGCACGGTTCTCTTGTCAGTTATCTGAGGAGTTCTTGGTGGATATCTTCCATCACTGGCAACTTCAGCTGCTGGATCACACATCAGCAAACAAACAAAATTCAGAATCTGAATGTCGAGTAAAAGAAACAGACAAGCAATCAAGAAGTTAAGAATCAAAACTAATGTTTAAGAAGTTTAGAATCAAAAGTGAGTTGTCAGGACTTTGGAATCATCAAAATATGTGAAGAAAGTATAATTAGAAGAACAATAAATAACTAACGAAGTTTCTAAGCAATTGAATTAAGTTCTTCAGTTGTGTTCTATGAACAGAATAATTATAGGGATAAAGAATGCTAAAGAGGATTTCTACTCCAACATTAAATTAACTAAAGTCTGAATGTACGCTCCTAAAATCCCAAAAGGAAAAGACAACATAGATCAAACCATAACTAGAAAGTGTCATGTGATTATGCAGCTTTATATAACACTGAAAGAAGAAATTAATGACACTAAATAAGAATTAATACGATCGATGTGCATACCTTTAGAAGACGATTGGGATTCCGGCGGTGTTAGTACCTCTTCAGGTACATCGGGAATTGCCTTCCAAGCTTCTATCATCTGATTCATCGTTTCCCTTACAATTTTGACCTGCATTATATCGAGTGCATTTGGTATTAAATCTATGCCATCATGGTCGGTTTTAGTTCTAGCTAATACAGTTCCGTCTTCAAGTACAAACTATACCTTATCGAACTTTTTAGCCTCGAAGATCTTCAAGCACGGAGCCTTGAATCCCGACAACAGTTCCGTCTCTACCACAGCCAATTTCTCTAGAGCCTCCGTGGCCGCTTTCCTCGCACTCCAATCCTCGCTCTTCATCACGAATTCAACCAAAATATTCACCAAATTCTTCACAATTGCTGGACTCGATGCGGCACCGACGCTGATCACACTCCCTAAGACCGTCAACAAAGCCGCCTTAGCCTTAAAACTATCGCACTTCAACAACTTCTCGATCCTCGGTAGCATCCGCCTCAAGTAAACATATTCCGGATCCGGCGCGCAATCAACAGCCGAAGCCAAGCACAGAGCCGCGCCGATCTGAGAGTTCAAGTCCTGTTCGGTAACCAGAGCGTCAACCAAGGGTTTAGCAACAGACGTAAACGGAGGTTTAGTGACGTGAGAGGCGATTGAGCCTGTGGCAGCAACGCATGCGGAGCGAACGGCTGTATCGGGGTCACGGAGGCGCCGTATGACGGCGGAAAGGAGTTTTGACAAATGAGAAGATAACGCGTCGCCGTGTGCTTCTGATAAAGTAGAGATTAAGCGAACGCATTGTCTACGGACGGGGGATTTGTCCGATGAGTCGGTTGCGGAAATGGAGGATAAAAACGGGGAGATCGAATCATGATTTAGGGTTTTGGCAATAGATTCGAGTTCCGTGGCGGCGGCGGAGTGCGTATCACGGTCAGATAGTTTGTTGAGACATGTAAGAACTCGGTGCTTGAATTCGCGTGCGGAAGCCTGGTTGTTGGAAGAATGCTTCGCTAGTGTCATAGTAAAAATGTCGTAGAGATTGAAACGTATGTTACAGTGGTGGTGGTGGTGGTGTGTCTGGATTTTCCGGCAACATCGCCGGGGAAGAGATCGCGGTGGTAGTGGTGGCTTCTGACACGCTTTATCCAAGCACTCGATTCTTTTTAAAGAGGGAGAGGCTTTAGTACGACAATATCACCACGGTGGTATGTTGCCGTTATTTTCCGGTTTTTTCTGATCTGATGAAATATGAAACGCTGTCGTTCTGTTATTTTAACCTGAAATAAATATTCCTCCGATGAAAATGTAATTCTTAGTGCTATATTAAGATAATGTATCTATAATTACTAAAATATCACATTGTTATCTAAATATACTATAAGCCTACTCGTACAGTACAGTAAGATATATATTAATTTTAATATTTTATTTTATTCTTTATTTCAGTCGATGTTATAGTATGGTATTATTTAATTTTGAAAAAACGATAATGTTTTTATTTTTGAATAAAATATAAACTTGAATATATCATAAATATTTGACAAAAATACATCGATAATAGTATCAAATTAACTATTTAAATTTTTTATTTTTTGTATGATTTTTTAATTCGATTTTTTATTATAATTTAATTTAGGTTCAATAACGAAATAATTTATATTTGGTTTAATAATATAATTTTCTTATAAAGATAATAATTAATTATTTTGTTAGAATTTAATAATTATCCTAATTATATTTTAGATTTTTTATATTTTAAAATGAGATATTTATCATATATTTGATTATGTTTATCCGTAGTTAGTTACACAAATTCAAACATAAAGCTTTAATAAGTTGTACTTATGTATAATTTACTTGTAGTCTTGAACTTTAAATAATATGAAATAATAAACATTATTTCATACACATAAAAAATAATTTTTAAGAGTTTTGACAAATGCTTTATAATAAATAGTATAGATATATTATTTTAGTAATATTTTTTACTTTTTAAATAAAACAAAATAAACAAATAACATAATGTAGATCTTTATTTCCATTTGATTATTAGAATAGATCGTCTAAATTAAATGGCATTTCCGTAAATAACGTGAAAATTAAGGAAACTTTTTAATACCCTTAAACCATACCCAAAGGTATATTCGGAAAGAATTTAAATCCCCTACTTTTATGGAAATTATTATTATCAATTATTTTTATTCCCTAAAAAATATGTAATCGTTACCTAAAATCATAACCATGCAATTGTGGGACAAAAGTGAAGGCAGTCGTCTATGGGTTTTACTCTAAATCACATTTGATGAAGCATTAGATAGCGTTTGAGGTTATGTCATAATTTCTTGGATCCTTTTGATTTTTTGTCATCATGTGTTTTTTTGGACAAAAAAAGGAGAGATCAAAGCATGGAAAGCTCAAACGGAGGATAAGATGCAGAAGCAGTAACGTTAGTTGGGATGAAGGTCGGAGAAGAAGCAGTGGTGTTAGAGGAGGGGTATGGGAAGACCTAAGTTAGAGTTTCACGGTAAAGATAGATGCTGAACTCAGATCTTTACGGTTGTATGCACATGTGTGCATGCAACACATGTTCATCGTCTTTATTTTCTATGATGTTGAAATTTGATTCAGTTATTCATATTTGAAAATCTATGTTATCTTGGGTTTATGCACATATGAATACATACGAGGAATTCAAACGTTCATATAGTGTCTCATTCACATGTGCATTCAACTCAGAAAATTGGATGTTGAATATCGTGATTCACTCACATGTGCATATAATTCAGAAAAGAAAGGACGATGAATACAACAATTCATTCATATACGCATAGTACCCATAAAATTAAATGAGGGAAGGTGAATATGACGACTCATTCACACGTGAATACAAAACAAAAATTGAAAAATGATGAATATGGTGATTCATCTATTGGTGCATGCATCTCAGAAATCAAAAGAAGATGAATACAATAATTCATTCATATGTGCATGCAACACAAAAATTGGATGGGACAATCAGTTATACAATATTTTTGGTAGATTGTTGGAATATTTTTTTGTAGAATTTATATAGTATAAATGAAGTTTCCATAAACTTTCCTTTATATAATGGATTTTAATAAATAAAATTATTATTCATCAATGAAATGTACCATTTTGCCCTTTTTCATTCAATAAATTGTCCAAGAAGCGTATTTTAATTGGAGGGGTTTTTCCATAATGTAAGGAGCGTATTTTAATTGGAAGAGGTATGTTTGGAAAACACTAGAAGTTCATCGAATAAACCACTTTATATATCAGTAAGTCATTACCAAACAGTAATGTATAACTAATCAAATAAGTCATGAGTCTCATGGAGCTCCTAACAAAGAGACTCTAAGTGACACAAGTCCAATTAACTAAACATGTTAACACATTTATGATTTCTTTTTTCTAATTTATCATTTATTAATTATGTTTTCATATAAACATGATGTATAAGGGGCCGTTTACCAAACACTTACCCGGTAAGCGTTTACCGGTAAATTTAACACTATCGTTTACTTACCGGATAAGATTTTAGTCCACCAAAACGGCATCGTATGCAACAATTTACCCAGTAAGCGGTTACCGTGGTAAAAGTTGTCGCATTCACTTACCGGGTAAGACTCTTGGTCCTTGTCTCGCTCATACCGGATAAGATTTTTTTATCCTTACCATATTCATCCGGTTAGGTAAAATAACTTGGTGTTCACTTATCCGAGTAAGCGTTTGGTAAACAACCCCTAACTCTCGTAGTGATACCACTTAGATTTTTATGAATTACTTACAAACATTATATTTTACAAGAATCACACTACACTATTCGTCATTACACTGGTATGTTAGACGTTCCACTAGAAATTTGTCAGTTTCATGAACACACATAATTTCTTAAAGATTTAGTTTTAGAAATACCCTCCTGGAGATCTATATCTGATGTCCCACTTCGAACAAGAACTGGAACGTATATCTTGAATGTCTTCATTACAATCTTCAAGATAAAATCTGTATTCATGATTATGATCTTTACACTGCAAATGATTGTTCAAAAACAAAATGCAGTTGATCCCAAAATAATACACTAGGAAATAGAGTAGGTTACTAAAAGAGAGTCGTTTCATACGATATACAGATGTTCATGATTAGTGTTAGTCTTGTGTTGAGTGTTTCAAAGGAAGGTGAGGGGCATTGATCATCATTGTTGGACTTGAAAGCAACCCTTATTTGCTTCTAATCAAAGACTACAATCAATTTTTGGACAAATCAGTTGTTTTCTTTTAAAAACTGATCATATAAAACGTAAATTATCATAATATTATAAAAGATCTGATAACGATCATTTTTCATTTAAGATGAATTAGTATAATTTTAAAAATCTATAAGTAGTTTGATTAAATTGGTCAGTTTATATTGCATTTTTATCTCTAATAAGTTTCATATATGAAAATAAAAAATTAACTTAAGAACAATATCGAATGATCTAAGGGGGCGTTTGGTTCGTAGAATGGAATTCGATGGAATTGGAATTCATCAAATGAATTTGACTTTGAGGGAATGAAATGGAATCTGATGGAATTTGACCATGCCTTGTGATTGCGTTTGGTTGTATGGAATTAGATTAGGGAAGGAATATGTAGGAAATGAATTGAAATCCTAACATATTGCCATGGAATTGTAAAATCTGTGCGTGAAGGAATCGACTGGAATTGAAAGGATTCCATAGTCTTATTCCATGAACCAAACACTCTATTTGAAATTTGGTCAAAGAATTGGACATTTCAATTCCTTTCAATTTCCCATGATCCAAACAACCCCTAACTCTCCAAAATCGCCACAATCTCAAGCAGATTGTTATTCCTCTTTGGATTTGAACCTGAAACCTCTAGACATTTTTGACTTTTGAAGCTCAAGTTCAAACCAATCAGGTATCACAAATGGTTAGTTAGCAAGTGCTTATTATATATCACATCCATCATGTTGGTTTGGTAATTAAGACAAATGAATACGCAAATTGTTTATTAGTTTAGTTGCTTAATTTTTAAATATTGAGAGTAAATAATAAGCATGATATTAAATAGCTATAATCATATATTAACTTACAATTACGTCTACTTAAGTGGTTAAAAGCATTTTTTGATCAAAATATATTTCAGAATTTATAAAAATATACGTAATTTCCTTTAAAAATATATAGCTAATTGAATATACATTTAAAGATAAAGTTTTTTTGGCGTATATCTATACTATGTTATAAAGCATTTGACAGAAACTCTTAAATACAATTTTTTATGCACGAAGTACTGTTTATTGATGCATATTACTTAAAATTTAAGATTACAAGTAAATTGTGTATAAGTACAACTTATTAAAGCTTCATATTTGAATTCATGTAATTAACTGTAGATAAGCATAATCAAATATAGGATAAACATCTCATTTTAAATATAAAAAATATAAAATATAATTAGGATAATCATTGAGTTCTAACGGATTACTTAGTTATTATCTTTATAAAAAATTATATTATTAAGCTTAAATTAAATTTCTTTGTTAATAAATCTAAATTAAATTATAATAAAAAAATTGAATTAAGGAAATTACACCAAARCRCAAGAACTTTTAAAAATATTAATTTGATACTGATATCGGTATATTTTTTCTTCAAAATTTTATGATATTTTCAAATTTATATTTTATTCAAAAATAAAAACATTATCGGTTTCTTAAAACCACATAAACCGTATTATATTGACATAAAAAATAATAAAACAAAACACTGGAATCAAGATGTGCCTCAATGCATTGCACGAAAATCCTTTTAGTCATAAATATATATTTAAACAAAAAATTACTTTTTAATTATCTTTATATTAAGTTACTTTATGTGTATATCATGGGATTTTTTTTATTAACTTGGATATCTAACCTGTTATGCGAGCCGACTAATCCCAGGGCGACCACTTGTTTTGTGGGTATTCCGAAGTCATCATATTTGAACCTCCGTAACCATAAGGAGATTTTTAATTCTCCTTAGATTTGAACCTGAAAACTCCA